TTAGCATGTAGTTGATCCAGTTACGGAGCACCCGGTCAACATAAAACTGGTGTAGGGATTGGATAAGAGTATTGAAAGCGCCTTCGATGTCAATGCATACCGCCAGTGTATATAGCTTGCTATCGAAGGATTCACCTATGTCGAGAGCAACATCTTCCGGCATTGCTGCTCCGCATCTTTTTGGTCCGTGCCGGAATTGAATTAAATCCCGGGCAATGGTTCTGCACCGTTTGCCAGAACCGACTTGAAGTTCAAGGTATTGCAGTTAGATCGGGAGAAACCGACATAGAGCTCTATAATGACTATATTCCGCCAGTAGCCAGCTGTCCAGCAGGCTACCGTCCCGATATCAGGACTTTATTAGACGGCGATATGCGTCTTGTCCATGCCGATGTTAAAACACCTTTGCGAGCGGGGAGTTGAGTACCTGACTACGGTTTTCAACAAGTCAGTGAGCAGCCTCGTAATACCCGAAGCCTGGAAAAAGGGTAGAGTCATTCCCATCTTAAAACCTGGGAAAGACGCGACGAAGGGATAATCATACAGGCCGATATCCCTCCTATCACCAGTCGCGAAGACTCTAGAGGCGCTTCTCCCCCAGATGTCCAGCTACCTAACACCAGCTCGTCACCGGCATGGTTTCCAAAACAGCACAGCACCACAACAGCATTAACCGCCATTGCCACTCAGATCTCACAAGGCGTAAATCAGCAGAGGCCCTATGAAAAGACGGCTGCCAAAACGCCGCCATAAGGACTGTAACGGGCTGCTTACAGCCAACCCTACTACACTCCGTCCAATGGCTTTATGGACGCATCCAGTTGAAATAGCCCAATTTAAGCCTGGACATTGATGTAGAACCCCCCAACTAGATTATTGTATAGATTTAGCTGTTATAACAACTTCGTTTAAAGCGGTTTCGATCGACCCTTTACATAAGCATGCTGCTTAAATTTTAGGTCTTTGTTGGGTATACTGCTTTTAACCACAATATCGACTATCCGTTCCAAGTTTTTAAGTAGGAAGGACGTAAGATTTATTGGTCGATAGGACTTAGGTGTGGCATAGCTAGGTTTCCCTGGCTTAGGTATAAATATTACCCTTGCATCCTGCCATTTAATAGGGGTATATGTGAATTTCAAGCATGCAGTGAATATCTGAGACAGATGTACAGAAATCAGTCCCGCCTCCATCTGTAGGAGTGCCGGGAAAATGCCATCCGGCCCTGCAGTTTATAGGGAGCGCAGCTCTTGATTGACCCTTTAACCATATCAGATGTAATTACAATTTCCGTGTTAGCCTCCCCTTCCTCCAATATCAGTTCATCTATGCTATTTGATACACGGGGCGGGAAATGAGAGTCAATTAGGAGTTTCATTGTCTCCTTCATATCCTTCAGCCTCCTGCCCGTGTCATCGACCATAGATTCCGGTTGGACATGCGTTTTGGATAGGATTTTTTTTATCTTCGATACGTCATTTACGCTATCTACCTGTTCACAGAAAAGTTTCCAGGAGTCTCGTTTGGCTTTACGAACAATTTTCTTAAATTCACCAAGTTTACTACGTACTCATCCCAGTATACTGCGGTCTTTTTACGCCGTGCCCGGTTAAATAGTGTGCGAAGTGTCTAACCAAGGTCCTCGAACGAACGATTCAACCAGGGCACTTGTGTGCATTTCAAGCTTGGCTTCTATGTCCTCTTTATTTCGACATTGAAAAGTGTCCTGACATAAACCGTTCTTTAGTAAGGAACTGAACATTGTCCAATTAGTTTTAGACTTATTCCGAAACTTTAACGGCTTTGTATTTTGAATCTTATGTACCGATGGTCAGAAAAGGAATTTCGTTTATAAGCTCTTCTGAACATATAATTATATCTAATACTTCTTCTCTGCTTCTATTGAAGAAGGTAACTTTATTACCTAAGTTCGATGTGATCAAGTCTTTAGTATTAAGGAAATCCATGAGGGCTTGTCCTCTCTGATTAGTGTTTGTACTACCCTAAGCTACATGGTGGGAGTTGGCATCACAACCTATTACAATTTTCTTATTTTTCCTCTTCAACCAGTTTCATCAGCTCCGACTGGTGGTAGTGTCGGATAATCGAAAGGCAGGTAAACAAATGCAAGGAATATGTTGCCACGACCTTACTTCAGCACCTTGCATCCGATGTGTATAATCCTGTTGAGAGGAGAAAACATAATTTCTTGTGACATAAGATACATGTTCTCGGTCGAGACCCTGTATCAGCGTAGAAAAGTTGAAAATTTACGTGATTTAATCCAGAAACCTTGTTGTTAATCGTCCAAGGTTCCTGGATTAAAGTTATATGTATCTTACTTGTGTTAATTTTAGACATCAGAGCGTTGGTAGCCGTCTCGCTCCGATGGATGTTGTCATCCATTTAACTGTCTTCCAGCGAGTTATTGATCACCTCCCCGCTCGTTGGGTTTGACTCCTCCGGGTAACCTGAAGTGGCTATTGATGCAGTGGGTACTATTGATGGCACTGCGGTGTCCTTATCAGGCATAGGAAGAGTAGTCTTTTCAGTAGTTTTTAATCGACACTTTCCCAATTTTGGACAGCACTGCTGTTCCGTCTTCTGGCGAGTGAGTGAGTTCCTCCTCGCTTTTAGGATATGACTCCTCAAAATTACCAGTACTTGCTAATAATGGTTTGGGTACCGTCTTAGGTGTTTTAGTTTCCTTATTGGGGCCGGTTTTGACAGCCCTTCTGCACCTTCTTTTGGCGAGTTAGTGGTAACTTCCTGGCATTTAGGATTTGACTCCCATTTTTCCACGGCCAACTCAGCATTTTGGCCACCATGAATTTCCAGTATACGGTCATTAGCCAGTTTACTGCCCCATCCTTTTATGTAGACAGTGGACTTCAAGAGCAACGGAAGCTCACTCTTCTTTGCCAGTCCCAGCTTAGCGCCGTCCCAGGGAGGAGGGGTACTTTCCACTAGGTACTTTTGGGTTCAAACCTCATCAGCATCACGCCCATGCTGAACTTGCAGCTCACGCCCTCTATTGGTTGTTTGCCCTTTGAAGCGATTGCGTGGTCCACTATCTTACTGTTGACCAGACCTTGTATTATACTCTGTTGGTCTATGGAATTTTGCCTGTCGGATTACCGGCATCGTAAACTGCACAGCAGAGATCGTCCCGGTGTCTTCTTCTGGCAACTTCGGCGTAAGATGGCGGCTCTTTTCCTTTTCCACTGTCTAGTCTCTCTTTCCTCGCTTTTCGGAACTTCTTTTGAGATAGCCGTACCTTCGAGGTTGATTTCGCCGACGTCGTCTTCGGTCGTCTTCGGAATATCTATCTTGGCGTTGTCACCCTTACTCGCAAGATTCTGACTTGAGGTTCCTTTGAGTGAAGTATGGCGTGGCTTCGACTGTGTATTAGAAGACGGGAAGCTCTTTTTCTTCTTACGTTTGTTCTCAGTTGTCAACTCCTCCTCTTTGCCTCAGATCTTGTGAGAGAGTCAGATTTTTCCTTTGGAGTGTCGTTGGATTGACTAACTATGATTTCCTGAAGCATCTTTTTCAACTTTTTCCTCTGTGCTCCAGATAGTCTTTTCTTAGTAATAGGTAGTTTAGCTATGCTATCACTCACCTGTTTCACCATTTGCTCCACTTCATCCTTTTTGGGATTTGCTATAATGGTGTTGTTATTATCATCTGAGGACTCAGAGACGGAGTCCTCACCTATATTTAAAGGCTGAGGTTGCTTATAGCTCTCTCCGAGACATCCTTCTCTTTCACCCCTATGTTTTTGCCAATGGCATGCTGTACACTTGACGCATTGTCCGCCACGGAGGCCAAGGTACCCACCTCCGTAGTAGCATTTTGCTCACGATTGCAGGATGACGACGACAGGTGACTCGCGAGTAAGTCATCACTTGCCGCCGGTACTGGGTTATTTAGGCCCTGCATCGTAACTTTTATCTTTTTATTTTCCATGTTTGTTTTTTCCAGTTTTTTGGTCCGCGGGGAATATAATATTCCAAGGTGGTGGACAATCTGCCCTCCCTCAGCTTAAGTGACTTTAAAGCTGGGAGAGGACCGATGGTCCATCACCACCCTCTATCTGCCACCCGGGGACGTGCTCGGTAGGAAAAACTTGAAAACTCCCCCGAGTATATATTGTTTGTTCACCCTTTATTTGATGTTCTTTCTTACTTTTAATCTTTTTTATCTAATGCATTGAACACATTGAAGACTGCAGATTACCAACTGCAATCTGTCAAAAATAAAATACACATGTTTATATGAAGACGATTCTTTTGACGACAGCACAGCTACATGACCACTCGACTGCTTTTGTCGCTGCAGTCGAATTAAGCCAATTTCTATTTTTGTCAACCACAAAACAGAAACAGTGTTGCTAATATAATAAAAAATGTAAGTGCTTAAAAAATATATATTTTTTTTTACTTTATTGAGAGAAGTTCTGATAACCATATTGGAATTAATTAATAATAGGTACGTAAATTATTACAACATATATATTTTTACTCAAAATAATAGTTTAAATCTTAATTACTTTGAAATTTTATACGGTTATTTTTTTATTAAAGTAAAAACAAAAAACGATAAAGTGACACCACTGAATTATAAATTCATATCAACAAGAGACAGCTGTTTATATTTTTCAATTCTTTTATTCTTTTGGTTAACTGCATTTGGTATTTTATTGCATTTTCCTATTTTTGTTTTTATTAATTTTAGTTTTGAATTTCAAGAAAAAATGGATGTAGTCGAAATATTTATCAAAATGTCAAACTTTAGGGTCAGCATTTGTGTTCGTGTAGACGTGTAGCCTGCTGTCTTCAATGTGTTCAATGCATAACTGTTATTTTATTCTTTGGACAAAACTATATCAAAGATTTTAATATGACACATATTTTGTAGTAATCAATTTAAAAACGGATTGTGCCAATCTTGTAGTAAATTTGTGATATTTTCTTCTAACTGCACATTTTTTAACATACCGACATCGATGTTGCAGCATTTTTTCCGCTACCTGCGCTTGTTCCTCTTTCACTTCCTAGGGTACTATTACAATGGTTCTCAGCACATTGAATAAAAAATTCTCCATACGAATCAACGATTTTGGCGTACAATATCCAATGAGTAAGTTGCTTAAGAAACACCACATTCACGGAAGATTGAATTCTAAAATTATTTCATTAATTATTAGTTCAGATAATGTTTAGTATAAAATTTTCTCTTTTGTATATTAGTCAGTTACAGCACAGTTAGAGCTGTAAATCTGGCAAATTCTTGACAACACAACAATTATATGTAAATGTAGAAGCAACCAAAACCGAAAATCCAAAACTTTGTTTTAATTGGTCAATTAATTTTAAAGATAACGACGCACAGTGGTATAGAAAAAAATAGACGGAAATAATTCTGTAACTTTTAAACGGTTAGTCCGATTTGAATGAAATGTTACATGTGGAGAGACGAGATGTTATCGAGTTTAGGTTCTGAAATTGGACCTCATGGCCTAAAGTAAGACACCTCGAGTATGTACAATTTATAAAACAATCCTATTTCTTCGTTTGTAGTTCGATTTCAAAATATTTTTATATGTGAAATCTGCTGATATACTTTTCAGAAATTCATAAATTTTTTTATCAATTCAAAAATTAATGTAAACCTTTTTAAAAAATGTGGCCAAAACAGTTTTTTGTTGAATTTTACGAATACAAAAATGTTAAAATTTAAATAAAATGTCTATTTAAGAATATTTTTTAACGAAAAATTAAAGTTATATAGTCTTTTTCCTAGAGAATGTAAAACTAAAAAGAAATTGTGAAATTTGTTATCACAAATCCCTCAATTCCCAAAAAAGTTTTGAAAAATTCCAAAAATGTGATTTTTTAGTTTTTATTTTAAATTTTATATGCATACAACTTTTGACTCAGTTCCGCTTTTTATATAATTATTTTTTTTATTAAAAAAACATTTGTTGTTAATTGAACAAAAAATGGAGAAAAATTAGGAAATATTTGGACCCACAGTTACCAAAAATCTGACCAAGGTTGGGTAAAAAAAGTTGAAAATTTAATTTTCAAATGCGAATATCTCTTAAGCTTTAAGAGATAATTTATAATTTATAGATTTCATATATAAACTTTTGAAACCGGACCACAAACGAAGAAATAGGATCGTTTTAAAAATTGTACATATCCGAGGTGTGTTACTTTGGAGGCCTATGAGGTCCAAGTTCAGAACTTAAACTCGACAACACCTCCTCTCACCACATGTAATGTCATTTAAATCGGGCTAACCAATTAGAAGTTACAGAATTATTTCCCTCTATTTTTCTAAAGCACTGTGCGACGATTAAGAATAAGAATTGTTAAATTTTGGTTGATTCATACTTTAGTATATAATTAAGAAGACCGTGTTATTATTTTTCGAATCAAAATACATAATATGTATAACTAACCGTTTAACAGCTTTATTGATGCGATCATCACCATGCAGCGAATTTTGATGCAAATATTGTATAATAGCACAGCCATGCAGTTTTTGTATTCGGATTCCACGTATTAACTTGCTTAAATACAATGCTAACGGTTCATATTCCTGCAATTTCTGATATATAAACATTAAAGATTGGCAAGGATTTTGCAGGAATCTGCTCTCGAGTTCTGTTATATCATTTAAGTAATCGTCCAATACGCTTTCAATTCCATTTGCAAATGCCTTTAAATAAAGGCCACTTTGTAAAGGTTCTACATAAAACAAAATTATAATTTTAAAATTACTAAAAAAAATTTTAAATATTTTTTTTTTACTTTTTTATTCTCTCATTTATATCGCTTAAAGTTAATTTATAAAAAAGTTTAAAATATTTTTTTATAGTCCTTTGAACTTAAGTTGTAAGTTTTCATTACTGGGATGTTACATGATTTCCATTCAAGTTTTTTTGTCATACCTATACAGTCATACCTTTTTAAAATTGAAACACCCATGCTTTCCAATTTCTCTTTCCATCTAATGTTTAAATTTTTAGTGGTTCTTTTGAAAAATAATAATCGCTCGACTTAAATTTATGTATTGTTTTATTAGAACTGACTAGAGAATAAGTTTTTTATAAAATTTACGAAAAAGTATAATATAATTGACGAATTAATTTTATAACAAGTAAGAAGTCTATATTCGCCTTTGCCGAATCTTATATACCCTTCACCATATTGTGTTTAAAAAATATTAATTTTATAAAATGTCAATTTATTTCATATTCCCGACACTGTCATAACTTAAGCAAAACAAGAGAAACAACAACAATGCTAAACGAAATAAAAAACAGAAAAAACAAAATACACAACGTAATGAAACCACAGCCATCCAAACATTCGAAACAATATACACAAAAAAACAAAAACAAAATACACAAGGCGATGAAACCACAGACATCCAAACATATGAAACGAAATACATACACAAAAAAACAAAAACAAAATACACATCGCAATAAAACTAACCTTTTATACAATAAGCAGTGTTGTTGTTGCTTTTTTGATGAAATTTTCAGAGGTTGTCTCGGATTTTTGCTCATATCTCCGTTATTTATGGACCGATTTTGCTGATTTTCAATAGGAAACTTCTCGAAAGTATGTCCAACAGAATTATTGAAGATTTGGATCCTGAAGATATCTGGGGTCTTCAGAAAATTGATTTCAACAAACACACAGACAGACGGACAGACAGACAGACGGACATAGCTTAATCGACTCCGCTATCTATAAGGACTCGGAATATATATACTTTATAGGGTCGGAAAATTATATTGTAGAAATTACAAACGGAATGACAAACTTATATATACCCTTCTCACGAAGGTGAAGGGTATAAAAAGAAAAAAATCGTACGGATAACAATTTGTTATAAAAAAGCAGACAAACTTTCTCAAAAAGTTCTTGGTAATGCAAGCAATATGCAACTGCGGCAAAAGAAGACAACCATAGTATTATCGACCGATTTTGTAGAAATAAGGAGATTGAAAAATTCTTAATATACGTTCTTTATTAAAACTTTTAATCCAAGTATTATTTGATTTTTTTTGATCAAGTTACCTTTGTAAATCACATCAGTTATTATGTATGTTTAATGTCAATTATATTAATTTGTTGTTAATCTGATTAAAATTAGTAAGCTGAAAAAAGTGCGTACGAAAATTTTTAAATATTTTCAACAAAACCCAACTTGGTCCTACAAAAACTTGGCCAAGCATTCAAAGGTCTGCCGTCAAACTGTTTCCCATGTTCTTAATCAGTACCGGAAGAACTTGTCTGTTGATAGAAAATCTGGTTCAGGTAGAAGGAATGGTCCACATTATGTTTCTAAAGCCAAAAAAATAGAAAGCATTTTCAGACTATATGGTACGAAAAGTTAAAGCTAATGCAGGTTTAAAAACATACAAGGCTCAAAAAGTTCCTGACAGGAACGCTGCTAAAAATTTAGAGGCCAAAAACAGAGCACGGAAGTTAAAGACAAGTTTTATAAAAAATAAAAAAAAAATATTCTTGCTGGATAATGAATGACGAAACGTATGTTCTGCTAGATTTTTTGCAACTTCATGGTCAAAAATTTTATGTTGCTGATGCTCGAGGGAATGTTGATGAAAAGTTTGCCATACCAAAAAGTTTTTGGTATGGCAAGCAATATGCAATTACGGCAAAAGAAGCCAATCATTTGTTACAACGGGATCTATAAATACCGAAATTTACATCAAGGAATGTTTAAAAAACAGGCTGCTTCCATTCATAAGACTTCATGTGGTAGATTTTAAACGGAGATGGACTACTAGTCCAAGCAAAGTGACAGAAAGTACTACTTATAAAAACGTTAATGGGAGGTTTTCCGAAAAAGGTTCAAAATTTCATCACTATAGTGATTAAAACTATTTTTTTGTAAATTGTAATAACAATTTCAATCAAATAAAAAAATTAAAACTGTTGTTAAGAATTTTTCGATCTCACTCCTTAGTTGGGCCTTTAAAATGAAACAAGTAGAAAAGTATAGTCGGGCATGGCCGACCATATGATACCCTACACCACTGTGTATGTTAAAAATAACGAAGCATTTAAGTTGTTTACATTAATTCCGAAATATTTTAACAATTGAAAAAAGTGATTTTCTAAAAGAGAGGTTACATGGGGGCAGGGGTAAATATGGGCCTATCCTTATAATTTTTGGTACATGGCCTTACGTTTACATTAGAGTTATGTATGCTGGATTTCATCGTAATACTAGTGTTTATTATTGAATTATTGACCATCAAGTAATTTTCTGAAGGTGACTTTGTATGGTGGCTAGGTCAAATAAAGTCCGATAATTACGAAAATCGGTAGTATTATTAAGACGTATATAGAACTAAGTTTTGCCGATTTTTGAAGAGATACTACAATATTTAATATAATTATGAACTCAAAAGCCCTTTCCGGGGGGTAGGGTTGTATGGGGGGTAGGTGAAATAATGGACCGATTTCAACCATTTTCAATAGGAATGTGGTTTATTTTTGACATCCAAATATAAAATTTTTAGTGCTTCTAAAAATAAGATTAGATGTAGTTCAAAGTTGTCAAAATTGAACAACATCCCTCCAATGACGCGCTAATGTAAAATTCATAGGTTTTTCACCAAAATTGGAAGTACTTCAAGTATGTTATTTGTGATGAAATTCTACTCCATGTAATCGCATTTTAAGATGTGAATAAGATGGCGTTTGTAAACTATGACTTACATTATTTTTTGCTGGGTATTTCACCAAAATTGGAAGTACTTCAAGTATGGGGTACGACGCATAATAAGAGAGATATTCTCTAAAATTTTTTGTAACATTTGACCTCCAATATCTCGCTTAGCGTACACGATATTTTCCGTGATTTTTAATCCCTTACCCAGCAAAAAAAGTGTGGAAAAAGATGTAGAATTTTCATCACAACTAGTAACCCGAAGTGCTTCAAATTCGGGTGTAAAACCTATGAATTATACATTAGCGTGTCATTGGAGGGATGTTGTTCATTTTTGGCAACTTTGAACTACATCTAATTTTATTTTTAGAAGCAGTAAAAATCCGATATTTGGATGTCAAAAATAAAACACATTCTCTTAATGACACGCTTATGTAAATTTCACTACTCTTTCACCATATCTTGATGTACTTCAAATATGTTATTTGTAATGACTTTTCCACATCTCTTTCCTCACTTTTAACTGGGGTTTCATTTGTAAGGAAATATTTGGTTTATAAAAGTGAAAAATGTGTAATCGCATTTTAAGATGTGATTAAGATGTAGTTTGTAAAGTATGACATCAATTATTTTTTGCTGGGAGCTAGTAACCCGAAGTGCTTCAAATTCGGGTGTAAAACCTATGAATTTTACATTAGCGTGTCATTGGAGGGATGTTGTTCATTTTTGACAACTTTGAACTACATCTAATCTTATCTTTAGAAGCTGTAAAAACCCGATATTTGTATGTCAAAAATAAACCACATTCTTTCAAGGAACGCTTAAGTAAATTTCATAGGTTTTTCATCAAAATTTTAAGTACTTCGAATATGATGTTTGTAGTGACTTTTCTACATCTCTTTTCTCACTTTTGACTGGGTTTTCATTTGTAAGGAGATATTTGGTTTATAAAAGTGAAAAATATATAATTGCATTTATAGATGTGATTAAGATGTAGTTTGTAAAGTGTGACATCAATTATTTTTTGCTGGGTACATATGTATGTGTATTGTTTGATTACATTTTGTAAGATATTTCATCCTCTGATGAACAGTGGCGTGTTATTTATGAGTTTTTCCTAACCGTAACTTTAAATTTGGAAATTCTGCAGTGAAACTAAAACAATAGATGCAAAAATTATTACAAATAAATTAAAAAGTGAAAACCCAAACAAAAAGTGGTTAACAGAAGGAATATAAATATTCTTTGATAATTTGGAGGAGGCTCCAAGTATAGAAGTAAATTTTTTTAACAAATAAGTGTTTTTTACAAACCTTATTGTTACAAAAAAAATAATGTTAGTTGAGGCCGTATACAGAAATGAAAAGTTAGGTATCTACAGACCACTTATAAGTAGGCGAAAGTCTTACATTCAGTCCAAGTTAAAAAATCAAACAAAAACTTTCATTAATTGTTGACTTCTATCAGCTTAAAAATAAGATTAGATGTAGTTCAAATTTGTCAAAATTGAACACTATCCCTCCAATGATACGCTAATGTAAAATTCATAGGTTTGTCACCAAAATTGGAAGTACTTCAAGTATGTTATTTGCCTTCACGAAGGGTAGTCATCTTGTCGCAATGTGAAGGCTTAAGTGCAATGAATCCTATGGGCCATGCCGACGGAGTCAGCTCTGCCCAAGCTGACTGGCTCCAAGGGGTCACCCTTGTCAGACGGGTCATAGGACGAGCGCGAAACTAAGAACTACCCCAACTGGCAGATGTCTGTTTCCCATATTGGGCGGTTTGCCAGTACCCGCTCTATCGATTGTTTTTCCTATCACTGAGATAGGGCAATCGATAGAGCAGTCCGATTGAATCCCTAAAGGATTCAGGTTCGGGGCTTGACAATATCCGGAGACCCTATTCCCACAGCGGCCACAGAGCTGTGGTGAATCGAATGTTACTGGCATCCGAGTTAGTCAGGTGGTAGCACCGGGCCTGTCTAATTCGCAAGCTACTGGAGCAACGAAGGCGCAAACTGTCGTCCTTAATA